ACCACCAAAGAGTCCAGGAGTGATGCATCAACATTAAATTTAATCCAATCTAGTGGTGGAGGATGCCAAGTAGCACCGAACTCCCTTAGGAGGTTAACATCCCAGTTAACTAGAAATGGAAACTTGTTGGTGGCAACAAAGATCACATTTGCAGCAATCACAGAAACAGGGGATATAGAATTGCAATGCTTTTTGTCGTTTCTACGGTTCCAGGAATAATAAACTGCCGTGCAGAATAGCCTAACACTATCTGATCCTTTACAGGAAAGCATTTTAAGATGTTGGAAGCAATCTTCAAGAGAGCTAAGTACTGGAATGTAGAATCCCCAAGTTCTCAATTTATTCAATATCTCAGTTAGAGACTTACATTGAATTAAAATATGCTCGCAGGTTTCAATATCCAGGCAACCATAAGCACAAAGATCATTAGTAGTTAGCTTCCTGTGTTTCAAGAACTCATTCGTTGGAATGGAAAACCTGCTCAAACGCCACCAAAAGAGTTCAACCCTTGGCTTAAGTTTCAACTTACGAAGCCATATAGCAAAGCCATGATCTTCAAAGGTCTTCTGATACTTAATCACTTCTGCGTAAGCCAATGAAGTGATTGATTTGCCTGAATGTTGGTAAAGAAGATCCATACTGTCTTTGTCATCATTATGAATAATACTATGTGCAACAATGAGGTTAACTAAATATGGGTTGAAGTAACAGTTAAGTTCGGTATGATTCCAGTGACCGTCAAAGAGAAAATTCTGCAATGTAAGATTTTCCAAACCAATACAATCAGCTAGCATTGGCCATTTATTAAAATTTTTATCAAGGAGCCAAATATCATCCATCACACTAATGTTAGCACCATTGGAAATTTTCCATCTGATGATAGTCTCAAGGAATGAAACTCCATTGGAGATTATGGATCTGGCAGCGGAGTGTCCCTGTTTAGACTTACCATTCCATATATCCGAAGCATGTTTAGCAGTCAAGCATTTGAACAAAAGAGAGGAAGGATTTTGATAAAGTCTCCAAGCTAAGCAGGCACGTAAGGGCCCAACTCTTTTAACTAAAGAGTGCATACCCAGTCCTCCATGATTTCTCGGTATACACAAGTCATCCCAAGCGATGTAATGCAGTCCCTTGTTATCTTTATTCTGATGCCAAATGAAGTCACGGTAGATACGGTCCAAATCATAAAGTATTTTCTTAGGGATTAAGGAGTGAGTAGAGACAAAGGTAGGAAGTGAAAGCAGGGATGATTTTGCTAGAATTAGCCTACCATCCATAGAAAGGAACCGAGCTCCCCAAGAATTGAGTTTATCTAAAGCATGATCAATAACAAATTGATAGTCATTCCTTGCCAGCCTTTTCAAAGCAATTTTAATGCCAAGATAGTGAAACTCTTTGACAATTTTAAAACCAGTTTTTTTACCAATCTTACGTTTCAGAGATTGGTTAGTAGAATTCCCAAAGATAATTTGTGATTTTCTCTGGTTTACGTCTTGCCCAGTCCATCCGCAATATTCATTGATTAAATTCATCATTACACGAAGCTGAAAGACGGAGGCTTTTCCAAACAGCAAAACGTCATCAGCATAAAGCAAATGAGTGATTTTAAGAGCTCTATTGGATGTATGGATGCCAATTTGAAGACCTCTTTGCTGAATTAAGCTAGAAAGAAGCTGAGAGCACATAATAAAAAGGTAAGGTGACATGGGGCAACCTTGTCGAAAGCCACCCTTGGCTTCAATCCATCTTGTTCCTTTGCCATTCAGAAGAATAGTGAATCGAACTCCGGTGACGCATTCCAGAATAAGGTTAGAGAAACTCTCCGGGAACCCAAACCAGAGAAGAACATTCTCCAATGTCTTCCAACACATGTTGTCAAAAGCTTGGGCCATGTCAAGCTTGATCGCCATTAAGCCTTTCTTATTTTTTGAAATCCTGAAATTTATTAAAAATTTCTAGAGCCAAGAGGCAGTGATCAGAAATAGATCTGCCCGGAACGTATGCAACTTGCTCCTCAGTGATGAGTTTAGGAATGAAGATCTTGAGTCTATTAACTATCATAGTAGTAGCAATTTTGTAGATAGTTTGACAAAGACTTATAGGGCGAAAATTAGAGGGAGATACCGGAGTATTAATCTTGGGAATAAGAAAGATCAAGGTGTCTTTCCAAGCTCCATTCATGCGTCCAGTGGTGAAAAAATGATTGATAGCTAAAGGATGCCTTAGTTAGCAAAAAAATAGCAAAATAAAATATGTTACACAATAGGCAACCTGAGATCTTTGTAAAGAAAAAAAATCAATTCCATCTTCCCCGGTGCGGCGGAGTAGCTGGGCCCTTCGACACCAAAGAAATATTCCTCTTCCCAAAACTTCCCTCAAGACGAACCTTAAATTTGATGGTACTAAGATGCAAGCTCGCCGGAGCAACCGTGTGGACTCCCCTCCACACTCCCTTGAACCCCCTCCAAGGATCTTCTCCCTCTCTCAAACTCCACCATTTTCTTTCTCCCTTTCAAGTTCTCTCTTCATGTTTTCTCTAGAAGAATGAAGCTACAATGGCTGCCAAAGACACTTTCAATGTATTTGACAAAGCTTAAATAGAAGAGCTCCAAATTAGCTCCTAATTACAACAAACTGACATTACTCTCTAGGATGATATAAATATTATCCTATACGATCAGTATAAATTAAGGTAAATCAGCTAGGATGATTTGGGATGATCAGAAGGTTTCTGTTCATATCATCCAGGTCGATAGGATATCGTCCTATATGAATAGTTCAAATCCGCATATATCATCCAAAACATCGCCCTAAATAAAAGGTGGCCGATGTTGATCGTCCAGGAATAATTAAGGTTTTTTGAACTGATTGTCCCAGTCAATCCTGTGATTGTCCAGGATGATAAGATCAAGCAATCAAACCTTAATTTCTTTTCCTAATTATCATATTAATTTAGGCATAATTATGTTGCATTGTCTAGGATGATGTCTAAACATAAAAGCTACCTAAATAGATATGGTGGCTAATTCTTTCTGATTTGAGCCTATCATCCCAGCTAATACAAAAATCATCCAGGACGATGAGCTTAATGATAGCTGCCTTAACCAAGATGCCCTAATTAGGGTTTCTATTTTTAACTGAAAGTCTAGACCGATTTATGGATCATCCCGAACAATGTGACAAAAAATAGAGAACTTTAAAAAGATTAAATAAGTGAGCCAGGTTACAAGGAAGCATACACCCCTAAAGAAAAAATATATTAATGAAAATTAAAAATAAAACTTGTTATACGAAAACACTAGCCTTGTAAAGTGCACTGTAATCTTAAAATGTTAGTAAACAAAGAATCAAAAATATATTACAAATATAGGTAGACAACAAAAAGTGAGCCATAATATTTGTAATTATTAAAAGCATAAACTCGTAGGCTCGAGTTGCAACAATCTTTCCCTTTTTTATGATGATAAATATTACATGTTCGTTTTACAAAAAAAGAAAAACATATTCTCTTAATCTCCCCCTTACTAGAATAAAAATTAAAAAAATAGGGGAAATTAAAATTTTTGTTCTTTTTATTTTTTTATTTTTTTGAAAAAAATTACAAAAAAAGATCTAAATGCAATAGTACATTCTTCCGCTTTGAAATTATCAAAAAGAGAAGGGGCACAAACAAACAAAATGAACCCTAATAAAAAAGTCTTTAAAATAAGAAAGTTACCTCTTGATTTTTATTTAAAAACTTAGTAAGGAATGTATTGACAAAACATAATCTAGAAAAGATTAGAAATTTAGAAATTATTAATCCAAGCTTAAGTTCTTTTAAAGACTCAAAAACTTTTTAATCCAATATCTAAATCAAAGAATAAATTAAAAAAAAAAACACTAATCTTTTCAAAGATTTTTTCATAAAATATATCTAATAGAAGATTAATGAAAAATTGGTGAATCAAGAATCATGATTTTCAAGCTCAAGTACCAAAAATATCAAAGATTTTCTTCAGCTTTAAGTATTACAATAAAAGTAAGCATACGTTTTGTGGGCTCATTTTATGTCTCTTGTTAGTTGTTTGGAGCACTTTGCACATCTTTTAATATTTTATACACTTTGTATATCTTTCTCAATTTGGCATCATTACACATATTTTGATTTAGCATCATTGGCCACCTTTTTTTAATCAAATATGCTTCCTTTCTCATATTTTAAAAACTAAAACAAACTTATTCTATTGACAAAACGAATTACTTGATTAAGAAAATTATCAGTTGAATTCAACAACTTGCAAAAGATTCCTATGATATACATAAAATATAGGGAGATAAAAAAATTTAATTTCAAAATACAATTTAAAATATGATGGAGATTTTGATTCAAAAGTAGAATAACCTCTATACGAAATAGAGATAGAGAGTCAAAATCATGAGTTTTCTTCCTTTGTCTATTTTTAGAAGGTCAACCCCAACTTATATAAGAATTCAAGAAAATAAGAGGTAAATTTTTCATTTTTAGAAAAAAAAACTTTAAAAATATTTGGTTTTCAAAAAAAGATGGTGATATGTGTGTGTTGATCAGAGAAAACATAAAAAAAAAAGTAAAGACAATATTAAAAATTTAATGAAAAAGAGAAAAAAAGAAATGAAAAAGAATAAAAAAAACACATAAAACAAACAAAAAATGAACAAAAAACATGCATACACAAACAAATAAAAATACAAATAAGGGTTTAAACATCATCTTGCTCGTGGTCTGATGATTCATAAGCTAGGTCTGCCCAGGAGATTTTTTTCTTTTCATTATTTACCCTTTTTATAATTTGCTTAGATTTACCTTTTTTCTCTTGTAGGAAGAGTTCTCTAATTAGGGCACTGCTTTTTCATATGTCCAGGTTTCCAACATCTAAAGCAAATAACATCAGAATAAATTTTAACATTCTTACCATTCTTACCTTTATTCCACTTTTATTGATGCTTATGTTTTAGTGGGCTTTCCAATTTGCTTATTAAGTCATTGCTCTATCACCAACTAAGCCATTTTTCTTCAAGTCTTCAGCATTTAGTATTATCATTTCACCTACATCCAAAAGTTTTTGGCTCAAACTTTGCTTGTGGGCAATGAGTGAGCCAATCTAATTATCAATAGAATAATCATTTAAATTTTTTGATTCACAAATAGCAACAACTTTGGCATCAAATTTATCAAGTTGACAAGGCATAATTTTATAGACTTTTTCAAAGTTTAAAAATTACTAACCTTTTTTTTAAATTGCTTATAGCAAAACTATTATTACCCAAACTAATTATTACAAGAAGATTCCACCTTCAACAATTCAAGAATTGAAGGAGGAACTCTTCCACTAGAGAAATCGTCCCAAAAGAAAGAAGAGAAATGAGCATAGTTAGCACAAAAATTGGCTAACTTATTACAATCCCTATTAACAAATGAAAAAATAAAATGTTGAAAATTATGAAGAAAATCTAAATCCTTAGGATTTAGGAATTCTTCATGATTCCACTTATTCTTTTTTAAAGCATTTTGAAAGATATTGATAACATTTATATTATCTCCTTCAATCACAATACCTTTGGCTTCAAGCATCCAATCTTTAATAAGATCCCTCAAAGATAGAATAGCTAAAAGTTCCTTTTGCGCAATATCCCAATGAATAGTATGAAATCCAAAAGCAGCTAAACCTCTTCCTTTATAGTCTCTGAAAATACCTTCAATGCCAGTACTATTGTTGAGAAAAATAGAAGCATCCACGTTCACTTTGATCCAACCCAGAGGAGGAGGAAGCCAAGAGGATTTAGACAGCTTAAAAAGCTGATTGGCATTCCAGTTCTCACGGATTAAGCCATTTTTAAATGAAGAAATAGATTGGATAACAGCTCTATAAGCTATGACATAGCAGCTATCATCACATCCACCGTGAATCAATTGATTTCTACTTTTATAGCAGTAGAAAATAACAGAGCAAATAAGATTTCCTAAAAAAGGATTGATGTTAGCCAACCTGCTTAAAACCTGATAACAATCCTCCACCGAATCAAACTCTGGAGTACCGAAATTCCATTCCTCCAGTAATTTAAAAACCTTATTTATAAAAAAACATCTTCTAACAATATGGTCTGTATTCTCTGTATCCAAGCATCCTCTAGGACATCCTTCATGATTTATTAACCTCCTGTAAGAGAGCAAGGCAAAGGTAGGAATGGAATTTTTACTAATTCTCCACCAGAACATATCGATTTTTGGTTTTAACTTTAATTTTTTTCTCCATTTATAAGTTTCATCTTCGCTGATAGCATTAAATTTCTTTTCATAGATAATAGCTGCAACAGATTTTCCAGAGATCTTTTTGATACATTCCATTTTGTCTTCAGGTTGGCTTGAATGAATCGGAATAGACAGGATTAAATCAATCAGTAATTTGCCAAAACAAAATTTTAATTTATCAATGTCCCAACTGCCATTTGTAATGAAATCAGAAACTTTGTTGTAATTATTTTCTATAATAGAGACAAAGGTAGACCATTTATCTAGAGTTTTATCAAGAATCCATATATCTTTGAAAGTATCAACATACTCTCCATTTGAAATACTCCATCTGAGCACCGGAAATAAAAAATCAGCACCGTTCTGAATTATCTTCCATGTCGAGGAGGGATTGTTGCGATATATACCATTCCACAGTACATCCCCATATCTAGCTCTTAAAACTCTATTTAAAAGAGTATTTGGCTTCATGATGAAATTGAGAGCATGTTTAGCTCTCAACGGTCCCAATTTCTCAACTTAGGATTGCACTCCATAACCTCCTTTATCTTTAGGCTTACACATATTACTCCATGAAACAAAATGCATTCCATAACTACCATCACTCTTATTCCATAGAAAATCTCTACACGTACATTCTACTTTGTATAAAATACTCAAAGGAATCAAAGAGTGACTAGCTTGATATGTAGCTAACGAGAGAACAGAAGCTTTGATTAAGGTGACTTTGCCCGCAAGAGAAATAAACTTTGTTCCTCAAATGTTCAATTTAGCTGCAGATTTCTCAATAATTTTGTTAAAATACGCTTTGACTAATCTCCTAAGAGCAATTTTAACTCCCAGGTAATCCAGTTCTTTCACCATCTTCATTTTGGTAATTTTGAGTAATGCTTTACAATCCTTTCTTTTAACTGATTTGCTGAAAATGACCGTTGATTTTTTGAAATTTATCTTCTGTCCAGTCCAAGAACAATAATTATTTAAGATTTTGTAAATATTTCTCAAACTAGACTTGTTTGCTCTTGAAAAAATCACAATGTCATCAGCATACATTAAGTGAGAAATTAAAGGACCATTAGAGCTAGCTTTAATACCGATTTTCTTCCCTGTGTTACCAAATTCTTTACTCAAGAATTGAGAGCACATAATAAAAAGGAAAGGTGACAAGGGACACCCTTGCCTAAATCCACAATTGGCTTCAATCCACTTTGAGCTTTCTCCATTGATCCTCTTCCTTTACAGTCTCTGAAAATACCTCCAATGCCAGTACTATTGTTGAGAAAAATAGAAGCATCCACGTTCACTTTGATCCAACCCGGAGGAGGAGGAAGCCAAGAGGATTTAGACAGCTTAAAAAGCTGATTGGCATCCCAGTTCTCACGGATTAAGCCACTTTTAAATGAATAAATAGATTGGATAACAGCTCTGTAAGCTATGACATAGCAGCTATCATCACATCCACTGTGAACCAATTGATTTCTACTTTTCCAGCAGTAGAAAATAACAGAGCAAATAAGATTTCCTAAAAAAGGAATGATGTTAGCCAACCTGCTTAAAACCTGATAATAATCCTCCACCGAATCAAACTCTGGAGTATCGAAATTCCATTCCTCCAGTAATTTAAAAACCTTCTTTATAAAAAAACATCTTATAACAATATGGTTTGTATTCTCTGTATCCGAACATCCTCTAGGACATCCTTCATGATTTATTAACCTCCTGTAAGAGAGCAAGGCAAACGTAGGAATGGCATTTTTACTAATTCTCCCCCATAACATATCGATTTTTGGTTTTAACTTTAATTTTTTCCTCCATTTATAAGTTTCATCTTCGCTGATAGCATTAAAATTCTTTTCATAGATAATAGCTGCAACAGATTTTCCAGAGATCTTTTTGATACATTCCATTTTGTCTTCAGGTTGTCTTGAATGAATAGGAATAGACAGGATTAAATCAATCAGTAATTTGCCAAAACAAATTTTTAATTTATCAATGTCCCAACTGCCATTTGTGATGAATTCAGAAACTTGGCTGTAATCATTTTCTATAATAGAGACAAAGGTAGGCCATTTATCTAGAGTTTTATCAAGAATCCATATATTTTTGAAAGTATCAACATACTCTCCATTTGAAATACTCCATCTGAGCACCAAAAATAAAAATTCAGCACCGTTCTGAATTATCTTCCTTGTCGAGGAGGGATTGTTGCGATATATACCATTCCACAGTACATCCCCATATCTAGCTCTTAAAACTTTATTTAAAAGATTATTTGGCTTCATGATGAAATTGAGAGCATGTTTAGCTCTCAATGGTCCCAATTTCTCAACTAAGGATTGCACTCCATAACCTCCTTTATCTTTAGGCTTACACATATTACTCCATGAAACAAAAAGCATTCCATAACTACCATCACTCTTATTCCATAGAAAATCTCTACACATACATTCCAATTTGTATAAAATACTCAAAGGAATCAAAGAGTGACTAGCTTGATATGTAGCTAACGAGAGAACAGAAGCTTTGATTAAGGTGACTTTGCCCGCAAGAGAAATAAACTTTGTTCCCCAAATGTTCAATTTACCTACAGATTTCTCAATAATTTTGTTAAAATCCGCTTTAACTAATCTCCTAAGAGCAATTTTAACTCCTAGGTAATCCAGTTCTTTCACCATCTTCATTTTAGTAATTTTGAGTAATGCTTTACAATCCTTTCTTTTAACTGATTTGCTAAAAATGACTGCTGATGTTTTGAAATTTATCTTCTATCCAGTCCAAGCACAATAATTATTTAAGATTTTGTAAATATTTCTACAACTAGACTTGTTTGCTATTGAAAAAATCACAATGTCATCGGCATACATTAAGTGAGAAATTAAAGGACCATTAGAGCTAGCTTTAATACCGATTTTCTTCCCTGTGTTACCAAATTCTTCACTCAAGAGTTGAGAACACATAATAAAAAGGAAAGGTGACAAGGGACACCCTTGCCTAAATCCACAATTGGCTTCAATCCACTTTGAGCTTTCTCCATTGATTAAAATAGAGAACTTAGGATTAACCACACATTCCAAAATGATATTAGAAAAGGATTTAGGAAACCCAAACCAATTCATAACTTTTTCCAAAGTAGCCCAACACATGCTGTCATAGGCTTGCTCCATATCTATTTTGATAGCTACCAATCCTTTTTTAGCTTTAGAATGCCTAAATTTATTGAATAATTCTTGGGCTAGAAACACTTGTTCTGCCATTGATCTACCTTTTATAAAAGCACTTTGTACATCCGAAATGATTTTAGGAAAAATAAAGCTCATTCTATTCAAAATCATCTTTGCAACAATCTTGTATATAGAGTTACACAAGCTAATAGGACGGAAATTGTCAGGAGTTAATGGAGATACCACTTTGGGAATCAAAATAACACTGGTTTCCTTCCATTCAGGACACAATACCCGAATTAAAAAATTCTTTTATGGCAGACCAAACTTCATTTTTGATAATAACTCAATATGATTTAATAAAAGAATAAGTTATTCCATCAATACCAGGAGATATGTTAGAACCCAAGTTTGAAATGACCTCCTCTAGCTCATTTAAAGTGAACTCTTTACTGAGCACATTGCATTCTTCAATATTCAGTTGATATGCAGGATCCGGCCAACCGTTCAAACTACAATGCCTGAATTTCCATTTATTGTTGAAGTATTTGAGAAAAATTTCTTCAATAATATGTTTATCATCACAGAAGATCCCTTCCTCATTTTTAATACCATTAATTTTGTTAGAATTTCTCCTGGAAGAAGCATAAGCATGATAGAATTTTGAATTGGTATCTCCTTCATTCATCCAATGAATTTTAGCCCTTTGTCTCCACCACATGCTAAGCCTTCCCAAAGTATTGTTAAATTCAGCAATTTTTGTTCTTAAGATGAAAAGTTTGATGTCGGATAAGCCACCCAAATTGGTTTCTTCACATTGCAATTCTAGAATTTCCATGTTCAGTTTTTGTTTCAACTCTAACAAATTTTTATGTTTTTCTTTACTCCAAAAGAAAAGAGACCTCAAAGCCCTCTTGAATTTGGAGTTTAAAATTCTGGAAGCCGAGCCATTCGATTTTTTGTTCCAAGCTGCTGACACAATTGAGTAGGAAGCTTTATAGGATAACCAAATGTCTTCAAAAACAAATTTCTTGCTCTTCGTAATTTTGGATTCCAAAATTTTGATAGCAATAGGACAGTGATCTGAAGCTATCCTACGTAGATGCTTAATCACCGTTGATTGAAGAAGATTTAGAGCAGCACTGTTGATAAGACACCGATCAAGCCTTTCTAATATTCTTCATCTTCCATCTTTATTGTTGCACCAAGTATATTTAGGACCCAAATATCCAACCTCATGTAAGTCTCCTCTATTCATGAATGAAATCATATCAAGTGTTCCTTGAGAATGAACAAATTTCCTGCCTACTCTTTTGTCATCTTGACAGATTATACAATTAAAATCTCCCCCAATAATCCAAGGCAAATCATTATTAAAATAATTTTCCAAATCATGCCAAAGCTCTCTTCTCTTATTTCAATTCCTACTTCCATAGATGGAAGCAATCATCCAAGTATGATGATTTTTTATTTTCAGTTTCCCAATTACCATTTGCTCATTAGCATCAATAACTTCAAAAACAGCCAAGTCTTGTCTCCAACAAACTAAGATTCCCCCTGATAAGCCTGAAGCCGGATATAGGAAGAAATCCCACCATTCACCAATAAACTTTTTGATTTCCATAGGTTCCATAGATGAAATTTTAGTTTCCATGATACCTACAAACAAAGCTTCATTTTCCTTCACCACTTCTTTTAAATACCTGGAGGCCACCACTTTCCTAGCCCCCCTACAATTCCAAAAAATTAGAGAACTCATTTTTTCTTTGAAGAGGGATTGGACCCACTACAAATAATCTTTGAATCACCTTTCCTTGTTTTTGATTTTAAAGAAACATTTCCCAATGATCGAAGTTCCTTCTGTAGCTTGAGTTTAACTTCTTCAATAACAGGAATTTCCTTCAGACTGGTATTGCTATCAGACCTTATATCATCTTTGTTCAATGCTTTCTCTTCTTTCCTACTAATATCGGCAGTAGGATTACCTTTTGGAATAACATCCACAATATCATCTTGATCTGCTATTAGCATAAAAAATTGGTTTTTGCAGCTGATATTATTCAAACAATATCCTGGATCAGAGTTCCCACTCATAGAATTCATAATTTTTACATTATTCAGATCTGTTTGGTCTTGGATAACAGACCTATCTAGACTGTCATTTTCACGATGCTTTTGATGGTCACCATACTCCGTAACAACCTCCCGATCTTTGTCTTCAGAATTATGATTGGGAGTACTTGAGTTCGCAGGTAATCCCTTAGGATTTACCTGAGTTCGCAAGCAACCCTTTCCCACTGAGTTATTTTC